CTAGATACGTGGGGGCTGGGGAGAAGGCTCATCAGTTGAGAGCACTTGTTACTCTTGTATAGGACCTGAGTTCCATTCCCAGCTTCCATGTCCAACAGCTTAAAAGTGCGTATAACCCCATCTCTAGAGGATCCAACATTCCTGGCCTCCCAGGGTACCTGCACTCATATGCATAAATTCCCACACAAACATGCATGTATAAATTAAAGATAAAGTACAAGACCCCAACCTTAAAGAAACAAAGATGAAATCTGCTTATGAACATGCATGCCAAAAACTTCTGGACAAAACCTTAGCAGGCTGAACTGAGGAATACATGAAAATAATAATCCATCAGCACAAAGAAGGTCTATCCTAGTACTATTAGATTAATATTTAAAATCCATCAGGAATTTAAATGCTACAACAGAAATGCACCTTGAAAATATTATACTAAGTCAAAGAAGACAGAAACAGAAGTACAGAAAATATGTGGCTGTTAGTGTCATAGTTACAGTAGTCAAAGGAGAGGGAGATAGAAAAACAATAAAAGACTTAAAATGATACTATTGACATTATGAAAGTATGCTATACCTAGGGACATACATAACAAAACAATGCAGAATTAATACGATGTAGAAACAACACAAATCTTCTGGAAGGATGCAAAGAAGAGTCAGTGAACATGCGTTGTTTGGAACACTTTAATCTTGGGGATGTGTAAATTCTCTCAAAAAAATGTTTTTGAGACACTGCCTTACTATGTAGCCCTGTCTGCCCTTAAACTCATAGAAATCCTCCTGCCTCTACTTCCTGAGTGCTGGCTTTAAACATGTGGGCCACCACAACCAGAAAATTCTCAAATTTAATATAAAGAGTCAACATTCACCCAATTATAATTCTGGGACCAAACTTCCATCTCCCTCCTCCCTTTCTTTCTGCTGGTCATTGAACCCAGGATCATGCACAGTAGGCGAGTAGTCTACCCTTGAACTATAACCTCATACAAGCACCACTTGTTTTTAAGAGTTGTAACTGGCCTGTTAGCCAGAAAGTATGATGAGGGCATAAAGGCAGGCAAGTAGTATTGTTCTTAATGTGAAAACAATTCAGTGCAGAAAAGATAACCTCTTCAAAGGACTGTACAGAGAAATGAGATACTCGTGGATAAAATCACTGCTATCTATACTTTATATAAAGATTAATGTACAATGCACCCTCATTCAAAACATAAAGCTTTAAACAATAAAAGGAGAAGAAAATATGGTAAAAAAAAAATCTGTATGAGACTGGGTTAAACAGAGATGTTTTACTGCGCATAACATTAAAACAACAAACATCAAAATGAGTGATGGATATGACTTCATTAAAACAAAGACTTCTGCTCTCTGAAAGGCACTGTTACAGCCAGGAAAAGAAACACTCACCATGGACTGGAAGAAAACACCTGCACGTCACAACACTTGCATGCCAAGTTTTAAATCTTAGATGCAAAGGACAGATTTTATGTATGTGGAACATGACAAAATAGATAGCATGGAAGCTAAGAATACAAAGGGTGTTACCAAAGGGTGGGGAGAAGGTGTGAAAGAGGGATACAGAAAGGATGACTGTGCAGGAAGCTGAGATTAGACAAGAGTGTGAGGCTCCAGTGTGCACCGCACATCAGGACTACCACCACCAGCAGTTATGTACTGTGCATCTGAATGAAAATGCTAGGAGAATGATTGTCAATGTTTGGCCTTAGGGAGTAGGCAAGGGGAAATAATAGAGCCCACTGTGACATTTATACTATAAAAGAAACTTACAAAACATTTTTCCAAAGTGATTTTGATAGTTTGTGTTTTAGATTCCTAGAAGTATTGTATGTATAAAAATCTCAACATGTATTATATTGAATTGTGTTATGTTGCATTGTATTGTGTTGCAATGCCTGAGTTCTACACCGTAACAAACATTTGATATGATGAGTCTTTTAACTTGTAAACTAGCATCCCATTCTGAGAGTATATAGATCCTAGTGTGAATTTCTCTATGAGCAATATCAGCATCCTACCTTGTGCTGTTGACCATTTGTATATCTTTTTAGTGAAGAATCCAAACCTTCAGCTTGTGTTTACTTGGGCTGCATATCTCCTTGCTATTGAATATTGAGTGTTCTTTATATATTTTGGATGTTTGGAGATGTTAAGATTCTATGTGTTGTCAGGCAGTGGTGGCCATGTCTTTAAACCTAGCATTCAGAAGGCAGAGGCAGGCAAATTTCTGAGTTTGAGGGCAGCCTGGTCGGTCAGTACTGTCTTGAAAAAAAAAACGAAAAACAAAACAAAACAAAAAACCCAAAACAACAACAATAAAAGATTCTGTGTGCAGAACAAACAAACTTCTTCTTCTTCAAAAGACTATTGGACTCATTAAAGAAATTCAGTGTGGTAACAGTCTACAAAATGAAAGCATGAGAATCAGTTCATTGTCTGAATATCAATAATGACTAGCTTTTCTTAGAAAGAAACCATGAGAACAGTCCTCTTGGCTACAACCACTGTGATGGCTGTTCATGGTTGTCATCGTGACTACATCTGAAATGAACTAAAAACCCAGAAATGAAGGGCACACTTGGGAAATATTTTTGCTTAATCTGAAGTAGGAAGATCTACTTCTAACTGGGACTTTGATGTGGGAACAAACACCTTTAATCCCGATCTTTCAGGCGCCGCGGGGTCGGGGAGGGTCCATGTTACCACAGAGGGCCATAAGAACCCTGTGTGATGAAAACTGAGGGCTGAGTTGAGAAAGTTGGCTCCGCCCCTTGCTGAATGCTGAAGCAAGAGAGCTGGCCCTGATCCTCACAGGAGAGCTGACCCCAATGTCCTGAGCATGGGAGAACTGCCTCCCCACTTGGGAGAAATGGCCCCACCTCTGACACAGGTGTGGGAGAACTGTCCCTGATGGCATGGGCACAGGAGAGTAGGCTCCACCCCTCATCTGAGGCAGTGTCCCAACTGACCAGCTCAGCTGCCACCCAGGCCTACATTGGGGGCCTTAGTTCAGCCCATTCTAACATTTACCCCATCTGTGATCTGCTGGAGGATGTGGATCTGCTGGTCCTGTGGAATGATACCCACGGAATCTCCATGACTCCAGAAGCCTGGGATATCTGAGAGGAGTTTGGGGGGGGGGGGTTAGTGATGACGCTGAAACAGCCCAATGACTCATTGCAAAGAACACTTACTTGCAAGTAGGGCTGATTGGACAAAAGAATGTACTGTGTGACACCCTGTGGCTCCCAAGGCCACCAGGATGAACTAAGATGTGTTGGAGAGGTAGGATAGGTGGAAGACTGAAGAGTGTTTATTGGTATGGTTTGGTTTTAATTTTCTTTTTGGGGGGATGCTGCAAGGGTGAAGGGTGGATATGGGGGGACTGAGAAATTCCCGAAGTATCAATAAAGACAGTTTTTATTAAACAAATGACAAAGTGCTGTTAGACAAGCTAAATTTGTGATGGAAAGAGGCTTCGTGTTCTTTGGCTGGAGGAAACACGTCTACTAAAGTGAACACAGGGATGGCTGAGTTGTTAAGAGCACTGACTACTCTTCCAGAGGACCTGGGTTCAATTCTCAGAATCTACATATCAGCTCACAACTGTCTGCAACTCCAGTTCCAGAAGATCTGAAACCACCTTCTGAACTCCATGGCACTGCATGCACTTGGTGCACAGACAGTCATGCAACCAGGAGACCCATATACGTTAAATAAAATAAAATTTTTAAAGGTACACCTAGCTCTTTTTTCACTTCATCCAATTTGTGGGTGTGGCATTCTTTTGAGCTCTTTGTTTGACTTCCTGAGCTTTTAGTTTTGACTTTAATTTTTGGTTTGCTTCTCTTTAGCACCCTATTTTTAAATTAAATTCTATTTTCGTATCTTACATTATTTTCACTATTTCATTTGGCTCTGTGTTTTTGTGCTCTCCACTGAGTTATTTATTCATATCCCTTTTAAGTTCCACAGACATATTTGTAATTGCTATGTTGAAGACCCTGTCTTGTGTATCAGCTAAGTTTCTCTTCTCAGGGAGTAGTAGAGTGGGGTGCTGGTTTCTGGAGGAGGCATATTGTCTTAGTTGTTCATATTTGTATTTTTGTGAGCAGATCTAGGTATCTGGATCAAGCACGTTGTGGTGTTTCTTGGATATCTGGCCTTTCCTTTGTTGGGTGATGTTTGAGTCTTTGTTTGTTCTTATCCAAATCTGTCAGGTTGTGGATCAGCTGATTGATGCTTGGTTTTCAGTCTTGGGACCACACTGTGTGTTTGAGTTCAAACTCCAAGTGGCCCCAGATCAACACAATAGATAGGTTTGCCAATAGATGAGAAGACAGGTAGGGAAGGGACTGGCTTTAGTTGTTTCTAACTAGGATTCTTGGTTAGCTTATCTGATGTCCCAGCTTTGGGGACAGGCGGCTGAGAGTCAAGCAGATTGGTGGGCTGGGTTTTGGAGTCCCTTCCTGAATTTCTAGGTCAGACTTAGGGTTGGATTCCAAGCTGAAGTTCTGGGTGGAACTCTAAGTTCAGACTACAACCATTCTCACATCAGCTTGGTGGGTGTGGTGGCCAAAAGGCTAGCAGGTAGAAAAAACAGGGTCCTGTAGGTGGAAGAGTACTGACTCTTTGGAAGTCTCTAAGTAGAGTTTGGGGTCTTGTTTCAATTAGTTCTGGTACCAAGGCCCCATGGTGGGCCTATCAAAATGACAATAACATTCTTCACAGAATTAGAACAATCCTAAAGTACACAGGAAAGTGTTAAAGAAAAAGAAAAAGAAAAAACTCAAATAGCCAAAGCAATCCTGACCCACTTCAGGTATGATAATACCTGATTTCAAAACACATAACAGGCCTACAAGAACTCAGTAGCCTAATAACAGACAGAAAGGCCAACAAAACAAAACAGAAATTACCAAAACCAGAAATAAACACAATTTTGCAGTTAACTGGTTTTTAACAAAAGTATCAAAAACATACCTTGGAGAAAGGACAATTTCCAGATATCATTCTTGGACTTCTATCTCTCCTCTTGTATAAACATCATCTCAAAATGGATCAACATCTGAAATGTAAGATTAGAAACTCTGAACCTGCTACAAGAAACACTTAGGCAGGAGTTGCCCTTGATCTCACTACTCAAAGTCAGAGGTAGACTAATCCCTGTGAGCTTGAGGCCAGCTTGGTCTACATAGCGAGACCCGGGTCACCCTGGGCTACATAGTGAAACCCTATCTTGTGAGAAACAACACAAAAAGACAGACAGACAGACATCCTTATAAATACTAGTATAATTTTCTGGATAGGATCTCCAAATCATGGGAAACAAAAGCAACAAAAGAAAACAAAACAAAACAATAATGTCATCAAACTCAGAAGCTTCTACAAAGCAAACAATGAACAGAGAGAAGAGATAGTCTATAAGATAGGAGACACTGTTTGCAAAGTATCCATTTGGCAAAGAATTCATATCTGGGATATATAAACAACTCTAAAACCTTACCATCAAGAAACTAACACAATGTAGTCTTTTAAAAATGAGCAAATGACCTCAGTAACACTTCCCAAAAGAAATACAAATGACCAACATAGATAGGTATGTAAAAAATGCTCAATGTTGTGAGTCATCAGGGAAATGCAAAATCAAAACCACAGTAAGATTCCATCTTACCCTGTCAGAAGGACGACTCATTTAAACAAACAAAAAAGAAAAAAGAAAAAGAAAGAAAAGAAAGCTAATAAACACTCTAAAGGATGCAAGAAAAAAAAGAACTCTTACTATTTGTGGGGATGCAAGCAGTGCATGTCACAGATGACAATATGGAATGTCCTCAGAAAACTAAAAGTAGACTTGTCATATGATCCAGCTTTCCCATTCCTGGGTATAAAATCCAAAGTAAATGAGGTCAGCTTAACAAAAGATACCTGCATTTCCATGTCTGTAGAGTACTAGGGGCAATAGCTATCAACAGATGAATGGACACACACAGACACACACAGACACACAAACACACAGACACACACAGACATACACATACAGACACACACACACAGACACATACATACAGATATATATACACAGACAGACAAACAGAGACACACAGAGACAGACACACAGATATATACACATAGACACAGTCATACACAGACACACACACACACACACACACACACACACACACACACGGGTATACATCCACTTATAAAGAAAGATATCCTCCTCTGTAGCCAAATGGATGGAGCTGGGTGTTAAATGAAACTAGTGAAGGACAGAAAGATAGGTATCACATCTTTTTCATATATAGAAGCTAATAAATGTCAATATGTAAGTACAATAGTGATTTCTAGAGACTGGGGAGTATATATGAGCAGTGGAGAAGAAGAGAAGGAAGCCAAATCTGATCAGGGTATGTTACATGCATGTATGCAAATCTTATACAGAGCCCCGTTCATGTGTTCAACTGGCACATGCTAACAACAGTTTTGTTTGTTTGTTTTCTTTCTTTCTTGGGGGGGGGTTGTTTTTTGAGACACGGTTTCTCTGTGTAGCTTTGGAGACTGTCCTGGAGCTCACTTTGTAGACCAGGCTGGCCTTGAACTCACAGAGATCCACCTGTCTCTCTCTCCTGAGTTCTGGGATTAAAGACATGTGCCACTACCACCTGGCCTATTTGCTTTCTTTTAATAAGAAATTTAAATACTCACCAGTAACTTCAGACTTTGAAATCCCAAAACTGAGAATAAACTTCAGTTACTTAAAAAAAAAAAAAAGAAATTTAAATACTCATACCTTCCACTTAGGAAGCCAATGACTCATAGGTAGTAACTCCAAGAAGGAGTGCATATGCCAATACAAAGACTTGTACATGGCACATCATAGCCTTTCTGTCTGTGAAAAAACAAGCTGTTCTATCCATATGGGATGGTCCTCACCAATAAAGAGAAACAGATACTGATGCAAGACCTGTGCTTGATACAACAGTGTGATGAATCTCCAAATGATGACACTGAGGTATATCATGCTTAAAAAAATACACACGGTTACTCTGTTAACATAAAACTAAATGAAATAAAAACTTATTTATAGCAACAGAAAATAGTTCAGAGGTTACTTGAGAACCAGGACACTGGAATACATGAGGGGAAGGGTTAGTTACAAGGGGACACGTGGAAGCTAAGTTTGCTGTGGGAGGCATGTTTATTTGGACTGTTGTGGTGGCTTTTGAATGTGTTTACATTTATAAAATAATATCAAAGTTTACACTTTAAGTGTGCAATTACATTTGCTTCATCAATTGCAAATAAAACTGCTTAAAGTGACATTTAGAAGACAAACAGAACAAGGAAATGAGGATACAGGGAACCAGCATAATAAAAATAAGAATAGCCAATGATACCATGCCGGGGAGTGGAGAAAGCTAACAGAAGGGAAACTAGAACACTGCAAAGATGAGCAGACCTCCACGATGACTAATCATCTCCACTTGGGAGAGGAATTCTATGTGTCTGAGACTGTATAGAGAACACATACACACGCATGAGCACAAGTGTGAATGTGCACACACACCCCTATATACAATTAAAAAAAAAAACATGAAGATGACAGAGATTAAAGAAAATAAATCATAGCCGTATCAGAAGGGGAGAAGGAAAAAGAAATGCATCGGCATGAAAGGAAAAGTAAGGGAGAAACTATAATGATAATTGCATTCATACCTACTTCCATAATAAGCTGTAGAGGCCTGTTCTATAGTTAAGGCCTTCTAAAACTTCTAAAGCTTCATTCATCCTTTCTCTGATTTGGTTTATCCAGAAGGAGGGATGGATTTGGGGAGGGCAGAACGAGGGAGGGGGGACAGAGTGAGGGGAAAGGATAAAGAGAAGGAAGAGAGGAGGGGATGGTAACCAGGAGAGGTGGAAGGAGAGAGAGGATGAGCACAGGGGAGAGGAGAGAAAGGGGCATGGAGAAGAAGGAATTAAAGTTACACAAGTCATTTTAAAAGTCCAGTATAGGTTTGCTTTTATATATAATGATCAAAGAATATGAAATGAACACAAGCCTCTTCCTCTTAGGACTCCTTAGATGTGAACACTAAATAAAACAAATCTTAATGAGTAAAAACATATTGTAAATATATATCAAATAATTCTTTAGGAATGAAGGGATAGCTGGTCTTTGCAACATTTATTGAAGAAAAATAGAGTTAACAAAATTTACAAATGTTAGTACTGAAAACATGTGATCGAAATCTATCACATCTCTATTACCTATTTGTTATCTAATTTCCTAATTCTCTAAAGAAACAACTTCAACTTGAAACTAGCTAGTCATGTATGATAAAAAAAAATCTGTGTTTAAGATTAGAAGCAAGAAATAAATGGTTTTAATCATCACTAATGCACAAAATGAAAAAGGTGCTATTTATTCAAAAAAGAATTACAACTGTATGTATTTGCAGAGAAATAAAGATTCCCTTATGGATAAGTCTTCTTTAAGATTTATAGTCCATAGAAAGTTATAAAGCTCTTTTAAATATACCAAATAAATCAGAGCCTGCATCATCCAATCATTAATTGTCCCCAGAGCTTTCTATACTATGCCATTTCCATACAACTTTGAAAAACGTTTGTTTGGGGAGGCTCAGGCAATGGAAGAGAATTTGCCAATATGATCCTAAAATTTGTATGAACAAGAATGGCATTATAATAACAGTTGAAAGACAACCAGATGCAGAGGACTCTGCCAGACATCAACACTTACTGTGAGGCTGTGATCATGAAGAGTGTGCCATGTGTCAAAGGCATGTGTAAGTAAAATCCTGTAGAGGAATACTGAGTCTAGAAGAAAACCCCACATATATTGGCCCCTGAGAGAGTAGGAATGGTGCATAAGACAGGAGGTATTATATATAAAATGGTGCTGAGATAATTTTGGGTTTCAATTTTAACAACATAAAGTTGGATCCCTATTTCATGCAATACTTAAATATCAGTTCCAGATGGATTTTGAGACTTCGGTGTTCTTAAAGCAACCCAACATAAATTTAGACGAAATATCTAGGGTTAAAAAAAATCTACAGAAGACATCAAGCATCATTTCATAAGAAAAGGAACTAGACACACCCATAAATAAAATGATGCTCAGCTTCTCTACTGGTAGAAAAATGGGCAAATTAAAGTCTCAAAGGGTTGACACTACATATTTAATTGTCTGGCAAAAATCAACAAGCCAACAATGTCAGTGCAAGGGAACTCTGCTGGTCTGACAAAGGGAGTTCACAATGACACAAACACTTTAAAAAAAGCATGGCACCCATGGGAACAGTTCAATTACCACATTGCCCATGATCTAAAAAGTTTGTTTCTAAAACAATACCCCAGGGGAAATGTGCAAATGTGTGCTTAGAATCATGTCAAACTATGCTCACAGCAGGTTTGCTTGTAATGACAAATGCTTCAGACAGCCCGTATGTTAATAATAGAATAAATAATCATTGCACAAAAATTGGAAATCTATAAAGCAAGTAACAATGAACAAACCAGATAGATGGGAATTCTCAGGGGGAAAAAATGCCCAACCAAGGGAGAAAGACACTTAAGAATAAAAGCAGTCTAGGTATGATGACACAGGCCTTTAGTCCTGGAACTTGGGAGGCAAAGGCAGACAATTTCAATGTTCTCATGGGTGCCGTGTTTTTTTCTTAAAGTGAGTTCAATGCCAACCTTGTTTACAGGAATGTTCTTAAGGATGGGGAACTAAGTGAATCTGTGGGGCCGAGGAAGTAGCTCAGTTTGTAGAATGCTTGCCTAGTATGCAAAGAGCCTTGGGTTCTAGTGCCAGCACCATATAAACCAGGTGGTGATGTACACCTACAATCCTAGTTATCAGGAAGTGGAGGCAGAGGGATATGAGGTTCAAGATCATCCTAAGATACATAGGGAATCCCAGGCTAACCTCACAGCCTCCACATGATACCCTTTACATGAGATTCTGACTCACAAATGACCAAGTGAACAAGCAGGTATGATATCATGCTTTCTTCTCCACTTGTTGAAGTAAATTTTCAAGAAGTCTGCTTAGGCTCCTACTGTGGATGCTAGTGTTTTTCACAATTAGGATTCTTTAGTTGTGATTTTCTATTAGAGACTAGAGAGGAGAAGAAGAAGAGGAAGAAGAGGAGAAGGAAGAAGATAGAATTAATGGTCAGTGGAAATTGCTCAGCCTAAATGGTCCATC